TTGAACTGAATTATTATTATTATTATTATTATTATTATTACTGTTATTGTTATTATTATTATTATTATTATTGTTGTTGTTGTTGTTATTATTATTACTATTATTATTATTATGATTATTATTTTTAGTTTTGCTAAAAAAAATCCAAATTTGCAAACAATACAGAAAACAAGGGATATACTCCACATCATGAAATAAAAACCCCTACTAAACACGTGGGAATGTTTTACATATACAGTCTCAGAGCAAAAACACTACAAATTAAAAATATGTACACAGACACACATGACCCTTTATTTAGTCTAATCATAAAATACACCCCACATAATAATAAACCAATCACCAATCCACCTTCCCCCACCACAACCAAAACACACAAACAAACTCAGTGCTTTTTGTCCGCAAGCAAAGTATACTGACCGAGCGACCGCCGCTTGTCGGCGAAGTTAGTGCAAACTTTAGTGGATAAAGGGTGTCGCGTGGTCAGTGCAATGAATCTCCACAGCCATCAATTTCGGTTTTCTATACAGGAGCCGCTACTTTTCCATTCGAGTAGCTCCTCAATTATCCTCACAAGGCTGAGCAGACCTCGTTCCAGGTCCACTACTTCTCAGAAAATCTGGAAGCGCCAGGAAACGATCCTGGACCTCTGGTTCTGTAGCCAGAAATTCTGACCATTAGACCACAGGGGTGATCACCCACGACCACCTAAAAAAGTAAAAAAGAAAAAGACTTTACCTACTGTAAACCTCAGTTCATTCTCAATAACGTAACCAGATACATCATCATAACATCAAAAGCAATTAAATCATACTTCTACTAGTAATTATTTTAATTAATAATGTAATATATACACCAAGTATTCATAAATCCAATTTATGTTTACATTAACATCACATGGAACACATTTTTCAGAAGACCAGACACAGCACTATAAACAAACTCCACTACATTAAAAACTTACTGACAAAGAACAGCAAAAAACATGACCAGCGAGCCCACCATAGAACACCAAAAGTGTAAGTACACACACACACATAAAACTACAGAAAAAGCATACAATACATCTATTCCCTTGCAATATTTTCTTAACTTTTTCAGATAAACCACCCGAGCAGACAACACGTGGCCATCAGCACCAACAAGATATACATCTATATAAAAGGACCAAAAATTAAAAAAAATGCCATTTCGTCTACTAAAACACACACTGACACCAACAACATACACTCAGGCAACACCCACACCCCAATAAAGGAAAAAGTGTGAAACATATTACCACCCCCTTACTACACTTCACCCCTAAGAAACCCATACACATAACAAATTAATTTTCAGCAAAATTAAAAATAATTTGAGACAAGTTCTACTAATATTCAACAAGTATTTTAGTATATTTAAATATTTTAATCTTATGAAATACCTTTTTATGTGACAAGGCTATTAGCAATGGATCCACTGCATCAAGCATGATCATGGATACATTTCGTTGTTTCAAAATGCATGATAATGGCCTGATGATAGTCGTAATGGACCGAAACATGTAACGTGAAAATATTTTTATAAATTAAATTGATTTATTAACAACTTTATTCTATCAGTTATTTATTGAAAGTATAAAGCTGTTGTGATCGATGGATATATTTACATATTAAATGTATATTTACTGTAAATATGCTATACCCTGTATATTCTTCCTTTCTTCACTGCAGAGACCAAAATATGTCAGAGCCGATTGTGACAGTAATGCAGCAATGTCAAGAAACGTAACCTGGACAGTCAATTAAGGTATACCACCCGGCTGTGGGAAAATTCTGTATTGTATATAATGAGGTGGTGGAGTCGCTGGTAATAAATGCCCAATATGCAAATGAACAAAAATGTCTCTATAAACGAAATGAATCTGTTACAGCTATACCATTTCAGTTAATTGGCAAGACAGATGGTTCTTTCTCAACAATGTAACTGATATTGTCCTTCCTGCAGGTTAGTGACTTACCTTTCTGTCTGCACAAGAACAGCTGGCAGGAGGAATAACGTACAATATAGTCACAAATGAATCATGTCGTATGTGGAGTACATTTTATTCTAACCTTATCCAACCTCCAGTCCTTCAGAGGATCTTCTTTAGCCATACTTTCACACTGAGACAGTAATCGCCGAAGATTTACTTCCAGTCTTGACTGCCCCATCATGTATGAAACGCGTCTGTCAGCATCTACGATTCCGGTAACGTCCAGTATCCTCTCAGACCACTCAGACGACGCAAACTACACCTCATCCACCGGACACCATCTACATGACGTACGTTCTCAATATTCTCAGTTCTCAAGCTTGTTAAGTATGGTCAAGGACGTCAAGAACAGTCAAGAACTCAGAAACAGTACTTGTAATTGTACCAAAGAAAAGCTGTCTGTGCGTTCTGGTGGTAAAGATTGGTACTCCAGAAACATTCATTCTACCCTTCAGTCTAACATTACATACGAGTCCATTTATCCTTTGACCATCGTCCACAGTGATTCGTGGTTTGCGGATGGGGTGATCACTGGCGTGAGGAATTTAGATTCCTAAGTTTGGAGCGTTTGGACGTTTTGTTTTCCGTTACGTATCGAACCTGTCTGTTTATGTGGACGTGCTACACCCCCAAAGCCAATTTTCTTACTTCCATATTCACTTACTCATGGAGCTGAGCCGTTCTTGATGAGCCGCCAATTCTGCAGCTACTCTAGAATTTCCCAGCATTTTATGGAACCCGAAGGTTCAGTACCGTGTTCACAAGGTTCACAAGAGCCCTCCACTGGTCCCTATCCTGAGCCAGATTTATATCTCTAAGATCCATTTTGATATTGTCCTCCCACCTACACTTTGGTCTTCCCAGTGGTCTCTTTCCTTATGCCTTTCCCACCAATATCCTATATGCATTCCTCTTCTCCCCCCTTCGTGCTACATGCCCTGCCCACCTCATCCTCCTTGACTTGATCATTTTAATTACTCTTGGAGAAGAGTACAATTTATGACGTTCCTCATTATGCAGTTTTCACTACATCTCTCTTCGGTCCAAATATTCTGCCAATTTTATTTTTCTTGGTTATGTTCACATACTATGTGTGTGTGTGTGTGTGTGTGTGTGTGTGTGCGTGCGTGTGCGCGCAGAGTACCAGTGGTTATCACTGAGCAGGGGGTGGAAACTGGAATAGGGGAAAGGGAAACACGGTAACTACTGCCTCTACGAAGAGGGGGTG